ATAACAATATTCTATTGCTGATTTTAAAACGCGCCAAATCCCTCTGGTGGGTGGCTGAGGGAGGAAATGGCTGCCACAGAGGACTGGGGCAAGTAAAATGGGAGCCATGTGGGCAGAATTCCCCATCCACATGGGTGCTGTTGCCCCGGCTTTGCTGCAGTCCTTCCCAAAACCTCACAGCAAAGCAGGTTTGGGAAAGATCCCTGCAAAGGTGGGGACGTTAGGAAAACAACCCACTTCCCAATAGCATTCAAGCCAAGGCCAAACCACTTTTATGTAAGTGACCCTAGTCTTGCCCCGTGAAGCAGCAGGGAACATGTCCTGGCCCTCTAGTCTTTAGATTGGCAGGTGTGACACATGGGCTCTGCAGTCAGACGGTGGCAAATGAAACGTTTAGCTAAGTTTCTTTCCCTTCCTCAGGACAAGCCAGCTGTGATCTCACTCCAAAACTTGATTGTCCGAGACATTGCCAACCAGGAGAAGGGCATGTTCCTCATCAGTGCTGCCCCACCGGAAATGTATGAGGTGCACACCGCCTCCCGTGATGACCGGAACACCTGGATGAAGCTCATCCAGCAGACTGTCAAACTGTGAGTGTTATTCCTGGTTGGAACAGCTTGTGCAGCCGCCGTTTCTGTAGTGTTAAGCTGCCACTCATAGCACACAGCTGTAATCTCAGGAAGCGTCACTTGTAAAGGGCTAGCACTGCTTCTTCCTGGAACGTCCCCCTCCCGTTTTACATTCCACTGCTTCTTCCTGGAACGTCCCCCTCCGTTTTACATTCCTACCTAAAACCAGAATTGCTTTCAGAACCTCCAAAAAAATGGATGGATCAAAATCTCTCCTAACTCTGAACCCTGCTGGAATATAAAGTGGCTGGGATTATCAAGGGAAGAGACTTTGCAATATGTTAGAAGAGATCAGCACAGTGTGCAGCAGCTGTAAGAGTTGAATTCCGCAACAGGGAATGTTAACATATATAGGTTCCTCATTCTGGAGTCAGATAATTGGTTTGTCCCGTCTAGTGATCTTTCCCAGGTCTGCTGCCTGAGATCCTTTAAATTAGAGATGCCAGGGATTGAGCCTTTGAAATTTAGGCATGAAAAGCATGTGATCTACCACTGAACCATGGTCCCCTCACAAGTCATGGTGTTAGCACATTTAGAATTCTGTCTACATTTGTTGGTTGGTCCGTGTCAAAAGGGATGCCATATTGCTGAAAAGGATACAGAAAAGGGTTATCAGAATGATCAGTGGATTAGAGCCCCTCTCTTAGCGTTGGTAGCTAAGGCCGTACATCTGAATATTGGTGGCTGGTGGGCAACAGTATGGGAGAACTTTATGGCCTTTGTGACTGGGGCTTGCAGGCTTCCCAGAGGCATTGCATTGTTGTTGGAAGCAGAGTGCTGGACTAGATGGAACTTTGGTCTGATCCGGCAAGGTAAGTTCTTTTTTTCTTAACCAGGTCTTTTTTTCTTTGTCTGCTGCCTCCAGATGTCCTGACCGGTCCGATTTTCCACTCATTGAGACGGAGAATGAAGCCTCTTTGCGGAAGCTGAAAGGTAGTATAAAAACTGGGTCACAACCACTCCAGAAAGGGGCAGTGCTCTCTAACCCATCTCTCTCTAACAAATTTCCTCTCATCCACACAGATAAGATTCAGCAACGGGACCGGGAAATCACGGAACTCCTCGAGGACAAAGTGGGGCTCTTTGCCGATATCCTGGCCCTTCAGAGTTGTAGTGTGGATGGCCCCCTACCCACCGTGAACTCCCGCACCCTTTTCCGCACTGAGTCATCGGATACTCCCCATGGGGAGAAGCTGATCCAGGAGGCCATCAAAGAAGGTACAAAGTTGACAGCCAGCCAGTTTGAGAGGCTCCACACACCCCCAAATACCTCCGGTTCAGTCCCCCCCCCCAGTTTATAAAAAGAGAGGAGGAGGAGTGGGGGGGGGTCTGCTCAGGAAAAGATTTATTATAACATGTGACAGGAAGAGGGGAGAGCCAGAGTCATGACCTCACCAGGGTCAAGGCGAGGACTCTGGGAGCATGACTTTGATGTCATGTGCTTGCGGCTCGGTGGATGGGTGTTAAGGTGGGCCTCTGCTGTGGAAAGGTCAAAGGCCACTGCCTTAAGGAAGCACAGTGCAGCATTTGACTGTTTCCCATAGGGATGCATGACATCCACGTAGAACGCAGTAAAGGGACTCTGTTGGTATGCAGCTGGCCCTGCTTCCAGTGACCCAGGCCATTGTGAATCAGTCCTTCTCCTGCATTCATAGCCATCTTAGGGCTGTGTTGCTCACACCAGAACGTAACAAACTGTTTGCATAAAAGATGTATGTTTTATATTCAGTCTGCACTGGGAATTGACACTATATGTAGTAATAATGTACTGGAACAAATATATGTGTGTGTGTTTGTATACCTATATATATATTTAAATAGGGCTGTAATACGTAGTGAAAGATCTTCTTGACATCTGTTGGATTAAACAGCAGGTTCTAAAAATCAAATTAAAATTAAACATTAATTGCTTATCTAAGTGCTTACCTATCCATAACAAGATGACTGTTTTTTATCTTGCCCTTCGTGTGATGAGCTCAGGGTGGCTTACAGTTCTCCCCTTCCCCTCCCACCCAGGAGGGAATACCTCCTCTCAGAGGACACCTGCTCTGATGCATATCCTCTTCATCTAGATGATTTTCCTGTGAAGTACTATGTTATTCATGTATTATACAGATATAATTGATGCATCAATGAAAACCCATACAATGAGTCAACTAGGATTTCTTTAATCAAAGCTCTAATGTGCATGTCTTCCTCTCCCCCCCCCCCCCCCCCCCCGCTCTTTCATTGCTGACACAGTGGAATTTCTGAAGGATTTATTCGTGGGACCCAGCTGGGATCGAGACCAAAACCACACACATGATCCAAATGGCTGTTCTAGCCCAAACCCAAATAACACCACAAGTATGAGCAACTATATCCTTCCAGACTGAAGTAACCTTTTCCCCTATGTGCAGATTCTCCCTTGCAAGACTGACTCCCACCAGTAGGCTTTATGGGGAGGGAGGGGGGGAGGGAGGGAAGGTGGCATGGTATAGCCCGATTTCCTCAGATCTTGGAAGCTAAGCAGGGTCGGTACTTGGATTGGAGACCACCAAGGAAGGCTCTGCAGACCACCTCTGTTTCTCACTTCCCTTGAAAGACCCGTGCTGAGGTTGCCATAACTTGATGGCACTTAAATATGTACATAGGCTTTATTGGGGAGGGGGGAGTCAGAGGACAGAAAGCGGGGTGGGGACAAAGGAGCTTGGAAAAACGGTCTTTCAGTTTGCTTTCTTCTTGTCTTCTTCCTACAGATGGGGAGACTGGAAGCATTAACGGCTCCCTTGAATTCAACAGGGTTGAATCCGAATCAAACCAACGTGTAAGTCTTTCACAAGGGAGGTGGGGTGAAGGCATCAGCTACTCACCCCCTTTTTCCATTCCCATTCAGAAGCCTAGCTGTTGAGGTCTGAGCCCTGGACTCGTGAGGAAGGAGCTGGCTTGAGCTCCGGTGGTGGGCAAGAAGCTCTTGCAGATGGACAGAGGGTCCTGGAAGGAGGGCTGGGAGCCAGCCTATCAGGGCCTGGGTGTCAGCAACAGCTGATTCTCACCAGCAGTGCCCACCGTCAATACCCAGCATGCCAGAGAAGCACGGATATATAGACATGTAATACAATGGCCCCGGTCACACAGCAAAGTTGCAGTGGGAGAGGCACGGATGGTGGGTGGATTATCTGGGCGCGATCACACCCCAACATCTGGGAAGTGGAGCGCACCCATGGCTTACCGCCGAAAATGCGTTAAAAAACTAGTACCTCCAAAGTACTAGTAAACTTTTGCCATTGGCTGCCTCCAGACTCCCGTGGTGTGATCGCGCTGGCGCGCAGCATTCCCCTCCGGTCCCTCGTTTACCCGCCGGCGCCGAGGGAAGGACCCGTGGTGTGCCGCCGGTGCGTCTGATCGCGTAATCACGGATCAAACTGCGCCAGGCCAATTAGCCACGCCTCCCCCGCGATATCTAGCCCATGTGACTGGGGCCAATATAAGTCTTCCATGAAAATTACTAAGGTGATATTAAAACCACAGTTATTTATCCACTGTATAAAAATTGCCTCTCAAAGTACATACAGTATCAAAATATCTTATAGTTAGTTAATGCTAGAAGACATATCCTGTATTTTTGTGTTGTCAGATTCAGCTTGTAGCATAAACCATCAATTTTAACTTGTTGCTTGAAAGTGTACCAAATAGCATTAGGCTTCCATTTCATTCTCACCACGATGCTGAATATATGTTGTGACTTAAGTCCCCTGGGTCTCTGTTTAACTCAATTTGAGCTTGTTGCTTGAAAGCGTATCAGACGGCAGGAAGGTTGTATCTTAGTCTCTCCACAATGCTGAGTGGCAGTTTCAGTCCCCAAAATCTTTGCATGAGAGCTTTCCAAATGAGATGATCCAACATTTAGACTCCGTATATTTAAAATTTCAGTTGGGTTCGCTAGCTCCATTTCATTTCATAATTTGAAATGATTGGTGAGACATGAGTCCAGATAAGAAAGTTTTTCTGCTTGAGTATTTACAGATAAGGAGCAGTTCCACCTTTGAAAAAGAAAGCAATTACCACTGATCTGTGGCTCATCCCTGTTCTGAGGCACCACACAGGTCAGCTCTGGGCAAATTCCTCAGTGACACACCTTTCTGCAGCAGAACTGAGAATTACTTACTGGTGATTGCCTGGACTCCTATATAGTTAAGAACATAAGAACATAAGAGATGCCAATGTTGGATGAGGCCAAGGCCCATCCAGTCCAACACTCTGTATCACACAGTGTCCAGAAATACCAGTGCCATCAGGAGGTCCACCAGTGGGGCCAGTTCCTTAGGAGAGGGATGTGTTCACCTACCCCCTCTAGACCTGAGGATCCATGGCTGCCCTTCTAGATCAGACATGGGGCCAGTCTTAATACCTGGCCTCTATGATGTTTCCGTCCGTTTTTCCATGGGTAGCACATCTGACACAATTGCATTATGTTCTTACAGGATGGCAATGGAAACCAGCTACAACAGAAAGTATCACAGGAGGTGAGTGGCAAGGGATTGGAGTGAGATATGGGGGGGGTATTCTTTAATGGGGGGAAATAACGGGATCTGGGTTCTCTGTTGCCCTGGTGGCCGCTTACGGCTTGTATGGTCCTGTTGGACTGACGGCACTTTTCTTCCACCCATCCAGGAGGTGCTGCAACGGCTCAGGACTCTCTATTCTCTGCTTCACGGCTTGCAGGTGAGTGTAGTTTGAGCCATGGCTCCAGGGGCAGGGCAGGATCCTGCTAAATTCAGATCTATACCTGTCGAGTTGCTCTGTGTGTGTATAAGAAGGGTAAGATGCATTCTGGCGCTGTTTCTAAATGAGGCTCTGTAGGTTCTGTTATCAAAATTAGAATCTGATACAGAATTCATCTCTTTGAGTGAAAACAGACCTACATAATGAGCTGTCTTTGAGTGAAAACAGACCTACATAATGGGTGGGTCAGCTGTGGGTCAGCACTTGCCCCAAACACATTTCCAAACTGAATCGAGCTCAGGGGATCCAGTACTGAGAGCTGATTTTGCTGGCCCTTGTGGCAAACACCAAGCCACTTCCCTCCCCCCCTTGCTTTTCACTCAAGAGTGGTAGTCCAAGTTGTCTTTTTCTTTTAAACTGAGGCTCAGAACAGGAATTGATATGCATAAAGCTGTAGGGTGCCAGGGCTGTGAATTAAGTATAAATCCATGTTAGCGCCAGATAGATGTATGATGGCAGAACAAAGGAGAGCTCATCTGACAGCAGAAAAACCTTTGTCCAGTCTTGGAGGGAGATGTGTCTGTCTTCTTATTTCACGTAGGCCAAAACCTCATACTGAAGCAAAAAGCAATATGGCAGCCCCTAGTGGGAGAATGTGAGCATTGCAATACTAACATGTTCCAGTCCAGGATGGTGCATGTTTAAGCCACATCTTAACTCAGATGGCCTGCCATGGAAAGACAGTCTGGAAGAGAACATTCTTGGTTGCTATACCTCCATTATGAAACTTCCTCCACTGAAGAGTCCTGACTTTATTGAATTTTCAGTGGATGGTGAAAATATTTTTGCTGCAGCGGGAGCTATTGGGTTTAGTTTGTACTGGCAGTAGCTCTTTGGTTCTGGCATGTACTGCAGTTTCCTTCAGAGATTTTTTACATTTTTTAATTGGCTGAATGTACACTGAGCTTGTTAGACAAAGAATTAGTTTCTCTTTCTTAAACTTCCCAGTAGCATTCTCTACAATGGTAGCAGTACCTGAAGGATTAAAACTTGAATTCAGTTCATAAAGCACCATAAATAATTTCTGTTGCAGGCTGGAGAGCAGCCATCAGAAATGAGAGCTGATTGGTTAACAGGAGATTTAAATGAAATCACTGCCACAGCAGACTAGATTTGCAAGAGCCTGGAAGGGTCTCTCTGAACAGCCTAGCAAATAAACAGAATGTAGCTGATAAGTGTCATAGCCCTGACTAGCCCGAGCCTGTCTCAGCTCAGACGTTAAGCAAGGCTAGCCATGGTCATTAGTTGGACGGGAGGCTATTAAGGAAGACAAGGGTTGCTACGCAGGAGAAGACAATGGAAAAAACCACCTCTGCTCATCTCTTTCCTCGAAGACCCCATGAGAGGCTGCCATAAGTTGGTTGCAACTTGATGGCACATTGTTGTTGTTGTTGTTCCATAAATACTGATTGTGCGATTTCATCCTAATGGGCTGCTTTTCCTGCTCCCCAGGCAGCCGTGGCACATCAGGATACCCTTCTGGAGCTCCAGCTACAGGAAGCAGGCGAGCGGCGTGAGAGGCTGATCCGCACCAATTCCCGCAAGGAAGCCCCCGCTTCCACAGCAGATAAGCAGGCCACCGACCTCTCGCTACTGCAGAAGCAACACGCGCTGCTGCAAGAGGAGCTGAGCCGCTGCCGGCAGCTCTGCCAGGAGAAGACTCAGGAGGTGACGGCTCTGGAGGCACGGCTGAGGGAGAGCGAGCAGGAGAGAGCTCGGCTGGAGCGGGAGGTGGAAGAGACCCGCAAGCAGGCAGTGACCCTGCAGCAGCCTGGGACGATCGTGGAAGCCGTATGGGCACGGAAGGGGGCGGAGCCCCGGAGACGCAGCTTGCCAGCTGGTGATGCTCTGTACCAAAGCTTCACTCCGCCTCAGGTAAGGTGCTGGGGCCCCCCTGGGGGGGGGGGGGGGGGGAATCCAGCCAGTGTCTTAGGAGCCAAGGCTGCAAGGGTCAGGGAAAGGATGCTCTGAAGTGGGGTTGGAGGGTTGGGGGTGGCCGACTCTTCCAGCTGTGTCGTTTCTTCAGCCTCCTGTAGGGCAATTCACTTTCTCCATGCACAGTTCTGCAGCCAGGGGATCATACTGTTGTGAAGCAGAAGGTTACACAGATTCACTGTAATTTGCCATTTGCCATCACGTTGCTTCTAGCTGCTGTCAGCCCTGGTCTGTTGGCACTCTGTTGCTTTAACTGGGATGCAGCTGGGCACCATGGGAACTCTGCCATTGCTCCGTCATAAGCCTGTCAGTGTCCACTTTGCTCTCTTCGCTGTTGCCAGCAACCTCTGCTGTTTGTGAATAAGGCAATGGGATCCTGCATGTGTATAGAAAAAAACGGGATTTTTGTGTGTGTGCAGAGCCTTTGGCCTTCCCAAGACCAACCTGTCATTCTGAAACCTAAATCCAGACCCTCACCTTCAGCGTTCCCTCTAAGCTGAGTTAGTGTGAGCTAGCTCACAGTTTTTTAGCCTCCAGTTCACACATTTCTGTCTTAGCTCTGGAAGGATGGCCCCAGAGCAAACTAATTTTATGCAGTGGTCAAATCGCTCGCTCACAACTTTAATGCCAGTAGCTCAGAAAGTAGAATTTTTGCTCACAGGACTCCATATTCACCTTCATTCTCTCCGATTCTCTTCCCAGCAGCAGAGCCGAGGAGGTGACCCTCTCTCCCCCAGCTGCCTCACGTTCCAGCGGACCTTTATCAATTGCCAACGGGATGAGATTGGCTACCATGGCATACCCAGTAGGCTTCCAGAGGGCGACCAGGATTTGGGAGTGCTCTCGGAGGAGGAAGGTGTAGAAATCCAACATACTCCCCCTTCTAGCCCGCGAGGTGGGTTTTCTTTAGAGTGAGCCCAATGGCTACCATCTTATGCAGGCAACTCTGAGGGAATTCTTTCAGGCTTCTCAGGGAGATTCAAATAAAACTTAATTCACTGCCATGTGAAAACAGGGACTGCTTCTAATTTTGCAACAGGCAAGCCTAGGTTTGTGTCAGGGTGAGCAGCTTCCAGCTGGTGGTGAAAGGAGATAAAATCACTTGCAGGTATTTTTGGCCTTAAAGTTGCTGCCCAGCCCCATTGAGCACCACGGTCTACAGCTTGCACCATGTTCCTTCTAAAGAAATAGACGTGAAGTAATATACGCCAAAGAAAAGTTCCTTTGAACATGTACCGAGTGCCACTGAGCAGCTGCAACCTATCCCTGTGTATTTAAACTTAAAGAGCAGAGAGTTTGCTTCCACGGCAAACGACAGGGCTCCTTCCGAAGCAGAGTCCGTCTGTCTGTCTTTAGAAATTAAGCTCTGCCCCAGTCTCTCTTGTCAAAATCTTGAGCACAGAACGAAAAAAGTTGTTTAAGTGTTTAAGGCTTATGAAGGTCCTCCCTAAAGTTTACCAGACACGATTGTACCTGCTCTCTTTAGCCCAGTCCTGAATTGCCCTGGAAACAAGCAGAGGGACCGGACAGTTTAAACCTGACTGCATTTCTCAAGGCTTGAACCCTTGCTTTATAGATAGTTTTTACACAACTCCCATTTGGACATGATGCTTTTCTTCCATGAAAAAAGGGTGTGAAGAACATTGCAATCAGAAGAATCTCCTGATACGAATTTCCTTGTTAAGTCTAAATCCCTTTCTTTCAAGATTCAGTGTGTTTCCCCAATATTATTACTCCTAGTTCAGAGATACTCTTGGGTTTGGAGGGTCTAAACATAAGGCATTGATTTGGGCTATTTATCAATGTTAAAGTATGAAATTTCATATTCAAAGACTGAACATTCAGCCAAGTGTTCAAATTTGGCTGAAATATCATTTTGGCATGAACATCAGAATGTAAGAGAATACTGGTAGGCAGTGTTCCCTCTAAGCTGAGTTAGTGTGAGCTAGCTCACAGTTTTTTAGCCTCCGGCTCACACTTTTTTTTTTTAGCTCAGGAAGGATGGCTCCAGAGCAAACTAATTTATGCAGTAGTGAAATCACTCACTCACAACTTTAATGCCAGTAGCTCACAAAGTAGGATTTTTGCTCACAGGACTCCACAGCTTAGAGGGAACATTGCTGGTAGGCTACGTGAGTAAGACATAGAAGTAGGATTCAAGATCCCTGATTGCTTCTGTTGGCAAATTGTTCTTATAAAATCCCAGCTGTGTTTTGTATCCCATCATAAATTTTGTCTCGTATGCCGGGGGCGGGGGCATTCCTCTATTCAGGAAAAGAACTTTAACCCAAATCAAAATCCAACAATGTTTATAACTAATTTCAGATTTCATGAAGATGCAGGAGATATCCGATTTTCCGAAGATGCAGGACATTCCAGAGGAGGTTGAAAGCAGCCAGGAGCTGAATGTTGGAGATAACGGTGCTTCGTATAGTTAGATTTGGGGTGAGGGGGGATCATCCCCATACCTTCCTAAAGCCATCGGACAGGGACTGCCCCCCTGCCAGAGACCACCTTGTCTCCAATCAAAACCACAACGTGGAACTTCAGGGACCTGGAAAGACCACACCAAACTAACTTTGGGTGGGTGGGAGCGGGGTTAGTGGAAAACCACGTCCTGAGAGTGGGGGAAGGGACAGGGGACTGAGCCACAGCACCCCCTGGGACCACTGCTTTTTGTGGCCTTTAGAACTCCTCATTGACGGACGATGGATTTGGGATTCTGTTGTTGTTCTTGTTGTTGCCCTGCAGGTTCTCTTTCTGATTCAGGCCGGGGCGAGAGGGAGTCAGGTACCGCAGATGCCTACTGTTGCTTCTTCTAACCCACCTACCTCCCCGCCCCACTTCCAAGCAGTTTAATTTATTTATTTTGGGGCAGGGGATAGGAGGGAGCTGCCCCCTTCTTGTGAAGGATACCTTTAAATTATTACGATGATTTTTTTTTGCTTTTCCTTGGGACTCTGTGGATACACAGAATGTCTTAATTTTCCTGGTTATCCTCTCCAGTTTAAGAGCAAGGAGGGAGTCTGTCAGCCGAGGTGACTCCAGTTCACAGAATGCTTACACTATACTTGTGCCAACACTATGGAGCGGGGGCGGAGCTTGTGTGCCCACCGTGTTCAAGGGTGGAGTTTAACCCTGCAAGCTGCTCCATTGCTGGTCTGAATAACTTAACTGAGGGGCCTGGTTCAGTTTTGGAATCCTTTATTCCTTTTTATGGTCTACATAAGATATTTTTGAGTGAGGGAAAAAAAAAACTGCTGCTCAGAAAGCAACCCACTCTGGGGAGGACTTTGCTATGTTAACAGAAGGAGAAGAATCACAAATTTCCCAATTACAAGACCTCTTTAAGATTGTGCCTGCATTACAGATGTGTCAGTTGGTTCCTTACCAGTTTAAATGCCATGTATGGTTTTTTCCCCTTCCAAGGAAAGTTGACAACTGCAGTAAGGCCATGAGACTGGTGATATTTCAAGAGTGAATTTCTCCATAGTTAAAAATGTTTAAGCCCGTGCTGCTGAGACCACCGTTCAAGCTCCTTTAGCAAGCACCCTGGGTTGCCTTTATAACCCAAAATCAAAAGGCATTATATTGAGACAAACTGTGGGAAGGCCCAGGAATGAAATCTTAAATTGGGAGGAACATGGTAGTAGTAGCACCAGGTGGTACCAAGCATCTGCTATGCATTGTGGAATTGCAACCCATAACTGGCCTTGCAGACTCATGTGCTCTTGGGATTCTTGCCATACATGGCAAATTCTTCCACCTAGTGGGTGGTGCTGGAATAACAGTCCCCATCAGCTTTGACATCAGTGTTCCTAGAATGGCAAGAAATGGGAGGGGGGACGCCACATGCAAGACCATCCGTTGGTGTTAGTGGACACAAAAGTCATAGAGCCTCTTTTCCTTGGCTGACAGAACAGTCAGATAACATGGAAAACGATGACTGGGAAAGGCTCCATCTGGACCTCCTTTGTGAAAATGGTTATTTTAAGCAGAGTTGACAAGAGATGAGAACTGGGATGTCTTGCTCATGGCAGGGGGGAAAAAATAAAATGTAGTACAGTTACTTTCTTTTTGCGCCAAAGCTGGATAATTTTTCTTTTCAAAAGATACCTGTCGGGGGTGGGTGGGGGGATTAATCCAGGGATTAAAAAAAAAGCCAGTTCAGAGTTTCTCTTGGTTCCATAACTGATGATTTAAGAAGGACATTAGACCGGGATTTTGGATTGTTTGACACAGGCGTGGAGCGCAGCCGCCACGCCCACTAAGCACACAATCCTACATGTGCCTCATCGAAATAAATCTGGATTGGAGGGGGGAGGGAACAGCTCCTGCGCAGGGATGACCCATTGCAGGCTGTCTCCGGAGCCAATACACGTGGGGGGGCAAGTGTTCTACCAAGTGTGAATCTAATTTGAAAGATCTTCCCATTTTTATGCAAATAAAGAAACAGAGAATGGCATGTCTCACTGCATGTTTCCTCGAAATTCTGAATGAGATGTGTGTGCTGTGTGGAAACAGCACATTTTGGAAAGTGGATGCTTTGATAGATACAAATGCTGCTCCCACCTCAAACAATATTTTTTTCTGATGGCAAGCAGGTATTCATCTGGGGTAATTAAACCAGATGGGCATTCGTTGTTATTTTTTTTTTTAATTTTAAGAACCACACCATCCTCAACAAGAGGGACTCTTTTTTTTTTAGAAAAAAGATATAATTTAAGAAGAGATCCTGCTGTGCTGATAAATAGCGTCTCTTAAGAGAAAACAAAGAAGAGAGAGAAAGCTACAAAGAACTCTTTTTTTAAATTAACTTTCAACACTGATTTATATATATGAAGAGGGAAAATGGTTTATTGTTTATTGTTGATTTAACTGTAAATGGAAAGGGAAAAAAGTTAATTAAACAAAACAAAACCGAGAATGTGTCCACTTTGCTTTGGAGGGCAAGGGAGGACTAGAAATGGAAGGTGGGAGACAGGTTAGTGTACCTTGGAAAACACACACTTGTTTTTATTTATGTATGTGATTTTTCATCCCAGTTCTATGTATAAAACACCTAAGGTGGCTTATACCTTAAATTTAAAAAAATTAAACACATAGATACAACCCCCCCTAATATATCACAAGACCTCTTGGTATAAATAAACTAGTAGCAGCAAATGTATTAATAAATATTAATACTCTGTTCTCACTTTCTCCAATGACTTCCTCCAAGGAACCCAAACTTTTGCTGAACCAGAAAATTCTAGACCAAACGGCAGTCACTTGGGTTACTGGGTGACAGTTCTGTGGGCCAGTGCACCATGGATGCTTACACTAATTTAGACATTCCTCATAGGGTGGACCTGTCTTTCATTAATTTTACATCTGAATCCATTCATCCCATGCCACTGATTGTCCAAGTGATGCACACCCTTATGGAAAATAAAGCAGCCATCTTCGATAGATCCACAGTTCAACGCCCTTTAAGTGGGGAGGCCTATGCAGTATTAACTCCCTGCCTACCCCAGTCATATACGGGAAGTGACATCATCCCAAGGGAGGAAGTAGAGATGTATGGGATTCCTAATTGCAGCCTGGGATGCGCCTGATCAATCTGAGGAAATCCCTAGATGAATCTCCACTGCTCAGAAAATGCAAACCCTCCCCTAGATCTTCACTGACAGGGTAAAGGGTGGAGAGTGGGACAGTGGCAGATGATATTAACCTGGACTTTTTCACAGTTTACCTATTAACACTGATCAAGATGGGTAGCCATGTTAGTCTGTCTGTAGCAGCAGAAAAGAGCACAGTAGCACCTTAAAGGCTTAACAAAATACGTGTCAGGGTATGAGCATTTACTCTTGAAAGCTCATACCCTGCCACATATTTTGTTAGTCTTTAAGTTGCTACCGGACTCTTGCTCGTTTCTACTGCTATCAACACTGAGATTGAGTCAATCCCTATGGATCTTTTTGAACATGAGGGAAGACAGGTTGTTTCTGCTGGCTTGAAAGTGGAGGATGCATTGGAGACACTGGGATTTCAGTGGCTGCCCTGCTTCTTGCCTCACACTGTAGGGCCACAATTGCCGTGTTGAAAAATGTCCCAGTGTCACTGCTTTAAGTCCCAGACACAAAACAAGGTAGGCCTCATAGAATATCTTGTCTCCCCCCCTCCAATTTGGGCATAAAGCAGCTGAAGTGAGGGACATTTCCCGTGAGGGGAATGGCATGGGGTGGGGACCCCCATCAAAGGTAGTCTGTGGAGAATATATAACTTGAGGCCTGGTCTTAGGGTTGCCAAGTCTTACCTGCTGCTGGAGCGGGGGGCTCCTGGCTTGTTCCTGGAGCGCGTGTGTGCAAAGCGCATGCGCGCCGCAACCCCGTCACCCGGAAGTGACGTGACCACGCCGGGCATGCTGGGGGTGGGGCCATGACCATCCGAGGGAAAAACAAGAGTTTTCCCTCAGATGACCGTGGCCCAGCCACCAGCGTGCCCGGTGTGGTCGCGTCACTTCCGGGTGACGTGCACGTCTCGTACTTTGGGGGTGGGATTCCCCCCGGGGCCTGATCCGCCGGTGGCGGGGAACAGGCCTCGAGCAGGGGTTTCCCTGCCCCCCAGGGGGACTTGGCAAGCCTACCTGCTCTACACATGCAAAGAATGAGGCAACGGTGAGGTGGCAGATTGCAGGAGGTGATAGAATAGTCCCATTTTTGTTAATACTTCCATGTGTGAAACCCCACCCCACCCATGAAATTATTTCTTTGGGGAGGAAGGTTGTAGTCTAGCTCTTCACATTCTGTGCTAGTTTTCCAGGTACAGGGAATTGTTACTGTAGCTGGGCTTCAAAAACCGTAATCCTTCTACTGCTGTTTGAGATGGTACAGTCCATTTGCCTGCAGTCTGCACTAACTAGCACAGTCCATTCTATCACCTCAGTCATGAAGACTCATCTCATATATAAAAGCCGAATGGTGGTGGCACTTCTCTAGAACATTCCACACGCTCCGCAATTGGTTGGCGCCCTCGTGCGTCACTCAGAATCTGTCCCTATCCACTGGCTGCATTGCTTGAGTCTTGCCTCCAACATTCTAAACAGTTTGCTGTTCCTCCCCCCCCCCCCAT